GTCTTTATATTTTTCATAAGTGTTTCCATTTTCTCTTGTTTTAGTACTATTCTGGAGAAAATTAGCCTGCTGGGGAAAGACTTAAAAAATACAAAGTAAGCAAGTTAATAGAGAGATTTTTGCAGAAATTCATTGTGCTGTTGTTAACAGGCATAGTTTATTTGCTCTGCATTAGGATTGCAAGTGTCCTGGGACAGGTGAGGGAGTGAGTGGAAGCTGGTGGAGCTACTCAGGGAGGACATTAAACTCCAGAGAGAGACAGAGGAGAGAAGAGCACAGGAGAGCAGGGAGAGACCGTTTTCTCTTCTTGAGAGAATGCTTAACAAATACATTATTTATTAGCCAAGGGTACATTACAATTTTTCAATATCTTTTTTTTAAATGTCGCATTGTCAATGAAACAACCTAATTTTGTGATGTAAGTTCAAAATGAAATGAATATATTATTAATTTTTGTAGTGTAATTTATTTGTAAATGAGCCTGAGTACTTTCTGTACATCATTATATAATGATAGTAGCCAATTATATTTTTTCCTGATCTGAAACCCCAATTTGCAAGTGTGTTTAATGAATGGGTTGTTAACTACTTTCGTAACACAAGTCAATGGGAGGAACAGAGCCTTATCTAGAGGTATTTCCCCTGCATGATATCTTTCAATTTGTATCCATGCAGGTGGCAAAGTACTATTCATCTGCCAAAACCATACCGCTCTCATTTGTGCTGCCCAAAAATAAGACATAAAATCTGGAAGTTGTAATCCACCTTTTTTAGATGCCGTTTGTAATGTTTTAAGTTTAACCCTCGGAGTTGTATTATTCCAAATAAATGTTCTAATTGAGCTATTGAGATTATTAAAAAACTTTTGTGGGATAGAAATGGGAAGAGTTTGAAATAAATATAAAAATTTTGGAAGAACGTTCATTTTTATGCAATTTATCCTGCCAATTAATGATAATGGTAGTGAGTTCCATCTTTCCAGATCTCTCATTACTTTTTTAAGTAATGGGGAATAATTCAAAGAATATGCTTCTTCCAGCTTCGAAGGAATATTTAATCCTAAATAAACTATCTTTTCCGAATTCCATAAAAAAGGAATGTTATTTAAGGGCATTTTCTCCGCAGCCAAATTAATTGGCATCATAACACTTTTATTAATATTAATTTTATAACCAGATATATCTCTACATTTTTCCAACAATTGAGATAAAGTAGGCAGAGATGATTCAGGATTAGTTAGATATAACATAACATCATCCACATACAATGATATTTTGTGTACACAGCCTCCTACCTCTAGCCAAGATATTGATTCGTTTGCCCGTATTGCTATGGCCAGGGGTTCCACTGCCAATGCAAAAAGTAGTGGAGACAGAGGACATCCCTGTCTTGTTCCCCTTGATAAATGAAAGTGCGAAGATAAATCAGAGTTAGTACGGACGGTTGCCGATGGACTTCTATACAACATTCGAATCATATCAATAAATTTGGGACCGAAATTCATTTTATGCAAAATAGCTATCAAATAAGGCCATTCTACTCGGTCGAATGCTTTTTCTGCATCTAAAGAAAGAGCAATCACCGGAGAATCCATTTGTTTTGCCGAGTAAATAATGTTCATTAACCTCCGTATATTATCGAAAGAGGATCTATTTTTTATAAATCCAGTTTGATCCATATGAATTAAACTAGGTAAAACCCCCTGTAAACGTAATGCAATCATTTTAGTAAGAATTTTATAATCAGAATTAAGTAGTGAGATCGGCCGATATGAGGTACATAGATTAGGGTCTTTGCTAGGTTTCAGCAGGACTGTAATTAAAGCCTGATTTAAAGTCTCTGGTAATTCTTTTTTTATAAATTGCCTCCTCATTCATTGAAAGCAATGGGTCAGCTAATTTAGAAAAAAAGTTTTATAAAAATCCATCGAAAAACCGTCCAAACCAGGTGTTTTACCCCCAGCTAGTGCAGCAACTGCAGACTGAATCTCTTCTTTCGAAATTTCTTTTTCCAGTTCTTCTCGGTCATTATAACATAAAAACTGGGATATCCAATTTGCTTAAAAAGTTTTGGATTTCAGCTTCCTGTACTCCTTGAGACTTATACAGCAATTTATAAAAATCTAAGCATTCTTGGTTAATTAATTTTGGGTGTTTGATACTTTTATTATCTGAAGAGCATATTGTAGTTATAGATTTACTAATTTCTTCTTTTCTTATTTGCCATGCTAACACTTTTCCAATCTTATCCCCGTGTTCGTAATACCTCTGTCGTGATCTTAGAAGTGCATTTTCTGCTTCTTTAGATGACAAAATATTGTATTCCAATTTTTTAGACTGCATTTGTTGAAACAGCTGAGTATCCTTAGAGTGTCTTAGAGTGTTCTCTTTCCATTGTTAAAATTTCTTTTTCGAGCAATTGTGATTGTTTTTGATATTGTCTATTCTTACTGGAAGAATAATTAATGATTTGACCCCTTAAGAATGCCTTCAAAGCCTCCCAAATTATACCCGAAAAAGCAGAATTTCTATTTGTAATCATAAAGGTGTCTATATTATTATTTATAAAGCCCAACGCTTCATCATTGTTTAATAAATGGCCACTAAATCGCCAAAGTTTACAATTTGACAGTTCCGGAGAATAATGCACTGAGATAAGTAAAGGAGCATGATCTGACAATATTCTTGGTAAATAATCGCATAGTTCAATCAAATAATCCCTCGCCATTGGAACAAAAAAATTGTCAATTCTGGAATAATTATTGTGCCTATGTGAGTAGAAAGAATATTCTTTTTTTGTTGTATTCTTAAATCTCCATATATCTATTAAGTTAAAACATGAGAGTTCGTATTTTAAGGCTTTGGCAACCTGAGTTAATGGTGACACTTTAGTGGACGATCTGTCTAATACTGGGTCTAATACTACATTAAAGTCTCCTCCAATTATTAGCTCTGCAATAGGGCATGCACATTTGAAGAATATATTATGAATAAAATCAGCACCCTCCATTTCAGGACGGTATATATTTACTAAGGTTATTCTTTGCATCGCAATCGTTCCTCTTAAAATAATATATCTGCCGGATTTGTCTTTATCAACAGATTCCATTTGAAAGGGTATATTTTTATCAATAAGTATAACCACCCCTCTGGATTGTGATGTAAAAGAAGAAAAGAAAACCTGTCCAGGCCACTGTTTTTTAAGATTTTGATGTTCAGAATCAGTCAAGTGTGTTTCTTGTAGCAAAGCAATTCCAATGCTATGTTTTCTGAGGTATAGAATTACTTTTTTCCTTTTAAGTCTTTGATTTAACCCATTGACATTCCAAGTAACATATTTATATTTCAGTGTACTTGACAGTAACTATATTTTTTGTTCTATTTCCATCTTAGGGCACTTTAAGAACTTATCTCCAACCAACCCAAAAATCAAATTAAGTAAACGTGTTCTGTCCAACCCCCCCTACCCTTCTCACCACTTCCCCAAACGAAGTGTGAAACTTTAAACCCCCATGACTGATTATGCACCGCAAAATGCAGTCGAACTTGACTTCCTCCACCTTATCCTAACTAACTAACTCCCGTACAAGTTCTGTCAATCCCAACAAATATTTATATTATGTACTTTCAAACAAACGTATTATTTACTTCGAACAATCCTAGTAACATATCCAAAATTCACACCTTTTCGTAAACAATTCCACAAACATAAAATCACATTCTTCTCACATTGGATTTTAGGTATAGAGTCCACCCTTGACATAACTGTTAAGTCAGTAATGTTCATCCAAGAGGAAAAAAGGAAAAAAAACTCACCCCTCTTACTTCAATGCAGTTATTCTTGCATACTATATGGGTGATTGCTTTAGTAGAGTTTACTGTAGATCCCCGGAATTCGTTGATATGCCATTTCTTAGCATCTTAAACGGCAATCAAGTGCGGATGATGTTGTCGAAGATAAGTCTCTGCCGATGCTTTGGAGTTGAAGGATCTTTATCCCTCCGGTAGCTGAATCCTCAGCGTTGCAGGATGAAGCATTGCATAAGACACGTCGTTATTGCGTAGCTGTCTTTTGAGTGCGCTGAATTCTTGTCGCTTTCTAAACAAGGTCGATGACATGTCACGCAATATCATGATAGTAGAATTGCCATAGGTGAGCTTGCCCCTTTCTCTGGCCACATTAAGAATCTTAAGTGTGTCTCCATATCGAAGTAGACGAATCAGAATGGCCCGTGGTTTGACGTTTTCCGCTGGTCGTCTTTGCAAAGTGCGATGAGCTCTTTCAATTTCGTAGATCTTGTCCTCCTGTCCCAGAATCTTAGGCAGCCATTCCTTTAAAAAATCCACGGCGTTTCTGCCTTCCACTCCCTCTGGGAAACCAACAAGACGTAAATTCTGATGGAGAGATCGATTCTCAAGTTCATCAATTTTATCTTTCAGCTGTTTAATTTCGTCGTCAACAGCCAATATGCACTACAGATAAGACTTTCACACACATCAATTTACACATGATGAAATCGTACAATCTTACATTTCTTTGTTTGCTTTTTTTTTTACTTTTGTGTATTTACATTTTTGGCTATATGTAGCTGTATTAACCTGAATTGAATATTTTCTATTTTGTATTTAATAAATACATTGATTTGAAATCCTTTTGACTACTGTACATTTTTGACAATATAGACATTAGTTATGTGGTGACTGCATCCATTTCAGATGTATAATAACTGTTTTTCCGAAAGACTTAAGTTATAGCAGCTGAAAAGTATTTAAAGTGAAACAGATGTATTATTATAGATCAGGGGTGCATCCTGTTCCTGGAGATCTACCTTCCTACAGAGTTTAGTTCCAACCCTGATAAAACAAACCTGTCTGTAATTATCAAGTGCTCCTTCAGATCCTAATTAGTTGGTTCAGGTGTGTTTGATCAGGACCAGGTTGGGCACCCCTGTTGTAGATTAATAGTGTGGGCTGCTGGGGGCCTTAGGCTAGCCCTAAGTGGGCCCGGAAAGGGCTGGTGCAGGCTTGTTTGCAAGGTCAATATTTTAACTTAAGTGCTGCAAGCCATGCATACAGCGCCGGACACAACAGACTTTCTGGTACGCAAAACAAGTACTTTAAAGGAATTCCATAGCTTATTGCCTTTACTGTGGCAGCCAACAACAACACAGCTTAACCCTGCATACATTTTCATATTTAGTTATATTGAAAAAGTTTCAATTCAGTCTATCTTTTTTACCCCGTTTTAACATGGATTTCTATGGAGATCGGCTGTAGCTGTTGGGCAAGATGGCGGATAACAGCGGCGGCACATAATATTCGCATTCTGATTAGTCAGATCGCCTGTCAATCATGCTCCCTGCGAACGGTCAATTAAACTGTATAATCAAGCACATATAATGGACCTGTACATATTTACATTCTAATGTTGTTAATATGTGTATATGTGTTACGAATCTGGTCCGTGGTATGCCATCCGACTGACACCAGAGGTCACCCTTCCATTACATTAACTCTCCCATCACACAGACTGTTACATGTCACCCCGGACTACATTTCCTAGTTTCCATTTCACTGATTACACTCTCACCTGTAGCCAATCACACACACTATAAATACGAGGTTGTAACCACAGTTCAAGGCTGAGTATTGTTAGCGTTTATCATTGTGTTAGCGATAGCTACATTACGGAGCCAGTTCCCAGTCCTAGTTCTCAAGTCAAGTCAAGTCTAGTCTAGTCCTGTTCATTGCCTTCTTTCACCCGTGTCTTGATCCTAGCCTGTTTACCTCCTCTTGTCTGATCTCTGTCTGTCCTGGAGTCATTGCCTGCCTTGGATTACCCTTTGCATTGCCATCTCGGACTTTGTTTGCACCTCGCCTGGACTATTGCCTGTTTATGGATTATCCGTTTGCCTCGTCCTCTGGATTATGTTCGCCGTCGATTGATCCACGCCTGTTTTATGGATTACTCTTTCATCTTTCGTCCTGTTTGTTGCTGCCGCGTGTTTTGAGTTTGAGCTCCGTCAAGTTAATTCTTTATCGTCCATTTTTTGTCTTAAAATAAATTTTATACACCATCATTTTCGTTTCTATAACATGTCAATATATCCTGTATCGTATTCTACAACAAAAGCAATCAGAGCGCCTTGTTATCACTAGTTTTATTTTGATTTCCCGAGTCCGCCGATTTCACTTCGGCGCCAGGACACCACGGACCTTGGGTGCACCCGCAGCAGAAGACGTGAGCCAGGCCCCGGGCGACGACCTCTCCCCAACCGCTGCCTCCGGTCTTCGAGATCTCCACCCGGAACCGCTTCGCTCCCCTCCGCGAGACGGAACGCGGCGCTGTGATCGTCGGCGCGCCCATCGTCTGGCACGTCCGTGCTACGTTAGCTGAAGGTAAAGTGCACACTCACTGTTTCCCTGGTGCTCGTGTTCTCGATGTTTCTGCGCAGATACCCGCGATCCTGAAGAGCGATGAGAGCCCCGGAGCGGTCGTGCTTCACGCCAGCATTAACAACACCAAGCTGCGACAGACGGAGACACTTAAGAGGGACTTCAGGAGCCTGATCGTGTCAGGACTGCTTCCCACGTATCGACGAGGACACAAAAGGTTCAGTAGACTTTTTGCTTTAAATGAATGGTTATTGTCATGGTGTAAAGAACAGAAACTGCTCTTTGTTAATAATTGGAATCTTTTCTGGGAGCATCCTAGGCTTTTTCGCGCTGATGGCCTGCACCCCAGCAAAGTCGGAGCGGAACTCCTGTCGGACAACATCTCCAGGACGCTATGCTCCATATGACTGTTAAGCCAATTCTCAAATAACTGCTATGATGGTTTCTGTTCTAACCGCTTAAATTATAGAAGTACTTGTGCTGTCCAGTTTATTAAGACTGTGTCTGTTCCCCGAATAGTGAGGTCAAAATATAAATTTAATGCAGGATCTAGAAAAAATCTGATCGTGATTAAACCAGAAAAATGTCAAATAAATGAACAAAAACCATTTTTAAAGTTTTACAACATTACAAAGCAGTAATTGTAAATTAAATGATCACAGATAATAGTTTTCATGTACTCTGCTTGACTGAAACCTGGCTAAAACCAAATGATTATATTGGTCTAAATGAGTCTACTCCACCAAGCTACTGTTATAAGCATGAGCCCCGTCAGACTGGTCGTGGCGGAGGTGTTACAACAATATATAGTGATATTCTCAGTGTTACTCAGAAAACAGGATAGAGGTTTAACTATTTCTAAATACTTCTGCTTAATGTTACACTGTCAGATATGCAAAAGAAATCTGTCGTATCTCTTGCTCTGGCTACTGTGTATAGACCACCAGGGCCGTATAGGGCCGTATACAGATTTCCTAAAAGAATTTGCAGATTTCCTCTCAGACCTATTGGTTACCGTTGATAAAGCGCTAATTGGCGGAGATTTTAACATTCACGTTGATAAGTCAAATGATGCATTAGGACTTGCGTTTACTGACCTAATAAACTCTTTTGGAGTCAAGCAAAACTTCACCGGGCCCACTCATCGTTTTAATCATACGCTAGATTTAATTATATCGCATGGAATTGATCTTACTGATATAGATATCGTACCTCAAAGTGATGATGTTACTGACCATTTCCTTGTATCGTGCATACTGAGTATTACTGATATTAACTATATGGCTCCGCGTTATCGTCCGGGCAGAACTCATCCTTTTAATCATACGCTAGATTGAATGATATTGCATTGAATCGATCTTACTGATATACGTAGATATCGTACCTCAAAGTGGATGATGTTATTGACCATTCCCTTGTATCGTGCATGTTGCGTATTACTGATATTAACTATATGGCTCCGCGTTATTGTCCGGCGTTATCGTCAGGGCAGAACTATTGTTCCAGCCACCAAAGACAGATTCACAAATAACCTGCCTGATTTATCTCAACTGTTCTGTGTACCCATAAGTACACATGAACTAGACGAAATGACTATCAACATGGGCACTATCTTCTCTAATACATTAGAAGCTGTTGCCCCCATCAAATTGAAAAAGGTTAGAGAAAAACGTACTGCGCCATGGTACAACAGTAATACCCACTCTCTCAAAAAAGAAACTCGTAGTCTTGAGAGCAAATAGAGAAAAACTAACTTGTATGTTTTTAGAATTGCGTGGAAAAACAGTATGTCCAGCTATAGACAAGCTCTAAAAGCTGCCAGGGCCGAGCATATCCACACTCATAGAAAATAACCAAAACAATCCAAGGTTTTATTTAGCACAGTGGCTAGATTAACAAATAACCAGACGCCACCCGATCTAAATATTCCCTCACAGTTTAATAGTAATAACTTTATGAATTTCTTCACTGATAAAATAGATAACATCAGAAATACAATAACAAATGTAGATTCTACAGCGTATAATACTTCAGCTTCATTCATCGCACCAAAAGATAAACTGCAGTGCTTTACAATTATAGGACAGGAACAGCTAAATAAACTTATCACTGCATCCAAACCAACAACATCAAATGTAGATTCTACAGCGTCTAATGCTTCAGCTTCATTCATCGCACCCAAAGATAAACTGTAGTGCTTTACAACTTTAGGACAGGAAGAGCTAAATAAACGTATCACTGCATCTAAACCAACAACATGCCTGTTAGATCCTGTACCCACTAAATTACTGAAAGAGTTGTTACCTGTAGCAGAAGAACCGCACCAAAGTCCACTAAGGGAGGTAGAGCTTTTTCGCATTTGGCTCCCGAACTCTGGAATAGCCTTCCTGATAACGTTCGGGGTTCAGACACTCTCTTTCTGTTTAAATCTAGATTAAAGACACATCTCTTTGGCCAAGCATTCAAATAATGCATCTCATAATCTTGTACTGCAGTTATATCTGATCAAATGCACATTATTATTCTTTAGCTTGGGTTAAACAAATAAATTTTACTTGGTTGGAACAGCAGCTATGCTAATTATGTCTCTATTTGTTTCTCTGTTTCTGCCACGGGATTGATATGATACTGGTGAAAGTCAACCAAAATATTTTCACGCAGTGGATAGTCTAGATTTATGCTTTCAGTTCTAATATAAATCTTATACAGTATTACAGTTTGTCGATCTAAAATGGTAATTGTGCATTAACAGCTGTCAACCATGTCGGGTACGCAAATGCGCTGTCAAGACTTGTTTACACAGCGCATTTTTTATTTTGGTCGCGCATGCGCACCTGCGTACCACTTATGTGCCTAGGTGGTTGTCCTGCATCTTCAATAAACAAGCTACAGGTAGTCCAAAATGCAGCGGCTAGTGTCTTTACCAGGTCAAGAAAATATGATCATATTACCCCAATTTTACAGTCTCTGCACT